GCTGGGATTAAAGGCGTGCGCCACCAACGACTTTTCTGAGTTCTCTGTGTGTCCATCCTCAAATGTTGCTATAAGGCCTTCTGCTCTGGTCTGCTTGGCAAGTTGGAGTCAGTAACTCTTGATCAGAACCTAAGGGAGCAGGCAAGTCAAGAATAAGAGGTGCCAGCCAGGTGGTGGTGGTGGTGCCCGCCTTTAATCCCAGCACTGGAGAGGCAGAGGGAGGTGGATCTCTGTGAGTTCGAGACCACCCTGGTCTACAAGAGCTAGTTCCAGGACAGCCTCCAAAGCCACACAGAAACCCTGTCTCAAAAAAACCCAAAAAAAAAAACCAAAAACCAAAACAAAACAAAAAAAAGAGCTAGTTCCAGGATAGGCTCCAAAGCTACACAGGGAAACCCTGTCTTGAAAGAAAGAAGGGGGGGCAAAGAGGGAGAAGAAAGAAAGGAAGAAAGAAAGAAAGAAAGAAAGAAAGAAAGAAAGAAAGGAGGAAGGAAAACACAAAACAAACAAAACAATATGAGGTCCCACAAAGGTTAGGGTTCAGACTCCAGACGAAACCCTAGGTTAATCAGTAAGGAGGCCCCAGGCCCTTGGTGCTGCTGCAGCCCACCTCACAGGCTTGGAGCCAGCATAGGATACACAGTAAAACTTCCACATGAACAAAGAGCAAGACAGAGGAGGTGGTGAGATCGCTCAGTGGGTGAAGAGGCTTGCCATACACCACTGGTGACCTGTGTTAGAGCCCACAAAGAGGGAGAAACGATTTCACAAAATCTCTTCCACAAAACCGTTCTCTGACCTGTACATGCACCTCATACACACACAGCTATAATAAAAATCAAAACATTTTAATTTTTTTTGTTTTGTTTTGTTTTTCGAGACAGGGTTTCTCTGTGGATTTGGAGCCTATCCTGGAACTAGCTCTTGTAGACCAGGCTGGTCTCGAACTCACAGAGATCCACCTGCCTCCGCCTCCCGAGCGCTGGGATTAAAGGCATGCACCACCACCACCCGGCAAAACATTTTAATTTTTAAAAAGTGTGAAGGGTGCCCGTGAGATGGCTCCATTAGGTAAAAGCACTTGAATTAAATCCCCAGGACTCTTAGGGTGGGAGGAGAGAACCAATTCACGTACACACAGAATAAATAAATAATTACATGTAATTTTAAAATTTAAGGAGCTGGAGGGATGGCTCAGAGGTTAAGAGAACTGATTGTTCTTCCAGAGGTCTTGAGTTCAATTCCCAGCAACCACATGGTAGCTCATCTATAATGAGATCTGGTGCCCTCTTCTGGCATGTAGACATACATGCTGGCAGAATGCTGTATACATAATAAAAAATTGTTAAAAGTTTTTGTTTTTGTTTTTCAAGACAGGGTTTCTCTGTGGTTTTGGAGGCTGTCCTGGAACTAGCTCTTGTAGACCAGGCTGGTCTCGAACTCACAGAGATTAACCTGCCTCTGCCTCCCATCACTGGGTGTGGTAATATTCATCTGTAATCCCAGCACTTGGGAATTGGGAAGCAAGAGGATCATAAATTCAAGGTCACCATCAGCGACCCAGGGAACTTGAGGTCAGCTTATGCTGGGAGACTCTTATCCCACCCCATCCCCACACACAATTGCTAATGGCTAGACTATGCTTCCTGCTTTCCTCTTGCTCATCTGAGTACTTTGTTTATTAGCTAATGTTTCCAGCAACTTGATGCAATTGGTATTGTCATCTCCAGCTCCTCTTGGTGATATCCATTGATATCACCAAGAAGTTAGGCTGCTATGGTGGCACATGTCTATGATCTGGCACTTAGAAGGGGGAGGCAGGAGGATCAGGAATTTGAGAACCTGATAGATTACACAGTTTGAGGCTAGGCTGAGCTTCGTGAAACCCTGTCTAAATAAATAAAAACAGCTTGTCTGAGGTCGTGAAGCTTGGAGAGCATGGGAATGTGGGCAGCCTGGCTGCACACCCCAGGCTGTTAAGTACTCAGTCATATACCCACTATGGGGAGGGAAGGCATTGGTAGGCAGGACCAGCAAGAGGAGAATGGAGAAGCAGCACAGGTCAAGTGATTTATGGACCAAATGGTTCCATTCTGGGATTATAAAGCTTCTCCCAGCTTTATGATCCCAGAATGGACCCATCCTCAGTGGGAAGAGAGATAAGATAATTTAGGAGGGCATGCAGATGGCTTCCTTCTCCTGCCTGGGGCAGTTTTCAGGTCATGAACCTTTTATCCTGACTCTGTGGGAAATTCACAAAGCAGGGAGCTGATATCAGGTACAAGTGTGAGGCTCCTGAAGCTGTGGGGCATAGAACCTCAAGGGGGCAAAGGAGGGAGGGAGAGATGAAGAGAGGGAGGGAGATGAGGAGGAAGGGAGGGAGGGAGGGAGGGAGGGAAGGAAGGAAGGAAGGAAGGAAGGAAGGAAGGAAGGAAGGAAGGAAGGAACCACCCCCCAAGGCTCAGAAGATGGACAGGAAAAATTGTAAGAACCAGAGCTGAGGAGCCCTTGAGAGAATGTGTCTGTGGAAATGACAGGATCGATGCACTCAGGAACTCACAGGACCTGTGGTTGCCTGAACAAGACCAGCACATGATGAAGCAGGCAACATTGTAGCAATGGAGGAAGGAGAGGTTCACAAGCCCCCACCTCTAACTGAGGAGCTATGGATTCCAGGGGGAGAAAGTCAGACTTTTGGGTTTGTTAAGGGTGTGACCTCTGGTAGGTTGACCATACTCTAGTAGATTGCCCTATACTCAGGAGTACATGGGCAGCACAAATTGGACTTGATGGGTTATGGGGGAGAGGAAGAGAATGAATTGGAGAGTAGGGAGTTGGGGGTAGATTTAGAGTTGGGTAGAAGGGGATGAATATGATCAAAATACATTGTATGAAATTCTCAAAAAATATTCAAAAAGCTATATTTTGGAGCTGGATAAATGGCTCAGCAGGAAAGACCTCTTCCAGAGAGCCTGGCTTTAGTTCTCAGTTCCTACACCAGGCAGCAAACAACAGCCAGTAACTTCAGCTCCAGGGGATTCAACATCCTCTCCTGACCTCTATGACCCCTGCTGCATACAGTGTACATACATACATTCACCCCCACAAACATTAAATAAATAAACATTTAAAGTGGGCGGTGGTGCCACACGCCTTTAATCCCAGCACTCGGGAGGCAGAGGCAGGCGGATCTCTGTGAGTTCGAGACCAGCCTGATCTACAAGAGCTAGTTCCAGGACAGCCTCCAAAGCCACAGGGAAACCCTGTCTCGAAAAACCAAAAAAAAAAAAAAAAAAAAAAAAAAAAACGCAACAAAAAAAAAAAAAAAAAAACAAAAAAAAAAAAAAAAAAAAAAAAAAAAACCCAACAACAACAACAAAAAAAACAAATAAATAATTTAAGAGAGAGCAAGTTTCCAGGTGGTGGTGGCTCACACTTTTTGTTTTGTTTTTTTGTTTGTTTGTTTTTTCGAGACAGGGTTTCTCTGCATTGTTTTGGAGGCTGTCCTGGAACTCACAGTATAGATCAGGTAGCTTCGAACTCACAGAGATCTGCCTGCCTCTGCCTCCCAAGTGCTGGGATTAAAGGCATGCAACACAATGCCGGTCGGTGGCTCACACTTTTATTCTCATCACTGGGAAGGCAGAGGCAGGAGGATCTATGTGAGTTCAAAGCCATCCTGGTCTACAGAGTGAGTTTCAGAGTACCAGAGTACACAGAGAAACCTTATCTTAAAACACACACACACACACACAGAGAGAGAGAGAGAGAGAGACAGAGAGACAGAGAGACAGAGAGAGACAGAGAGAGACAGAGAGAGAGAGTTCCCTAGAGCATTCACAGGAGTCAAGACCTTGGACACAGAACTTAAAGGCATGTGCATCATGCATGGATATGGGAAGTGCCTGACCAGGAAGCCCCAGAGCCTGGGACAGAACCCTGGCACTGTGTTGAGGCTACCGGTGTCAAGGACACTGATCTCAGTGCTCAAGTCTTGCTCTAGGCCCAATCAAGCAACTCCCAGCCTTTCAAGCCCAGAAGCCCGTGGCTTTGACTCCTGCCTCCAACATTAGTTGTGTGACCTTGGGCAAGTCGTTTGCTTCCTGGAACCTAATCTGTGAAACTGGAATGATTCCTACATGATGGGGATATGATGAAGATTCCATGAGAGGAAGATAAAATGTTGTCCTTGGCATAGTATCTGTCCCTTGAGTTAGTACTTTATCGGCAGCTGATATTATGACAATTTACCCTGAACTGTCATCTTGCCTATAGCATAGGATAGCAATCCCTATTGTCCCTAGTTTAAAGGACATGGCATGCCCTGTGCGAGTTGTGGGGTCAGGACACATGGCATGTTAGGTACTCAAAGACCAGCCTGGCCCCACAGGGCTAGTAGCACACACCCAGTTCCCAGGGGAAGCCAGATGACAGCCTCCATTCATCAATGACAGTACCAGTCCAATCTAACTTTATGGACCCAGCAGCTACTTAAGACTGAAGAGCAAAGTCTGGTCCCGTTCTTCCTGGCTTCGGCTGAGATCAGGTAGGCAGGTGTGAGTGGGGTTAGAGGGTCCTGGGGCTTGGGATACCAGGGGAACAGGTTTCAAGAAGATGCTCCAAGGAAAAATGGTGACTCTGGTTTGGAGTTGGGTCTGGTTTGTTTATTTATTTTTATTTTATATGTATTGATGCTTTTCCTGCATGTATGTCTGTGTGAGGGTGTCAGATCTTAGAGTTACAGACAGTTGTGACCTGCCATGTGGGTGCTGGGATATTGAACCCAGGTCCTCTAGAAGAGCAGCAAAGTGCTCCCAACTGAGGAGCCATCTCTCCAGCCTCCTGTTTGTTTTGAGACATGGCCTTGCTATATAGCATGGGCAGGCTTTGAACCGGTGACCTCCTGCCTTGACTCGGTGAGTGCTGGGATTGTAGGCATGTGCCACCATACCTAGCAAATTGGGGCTCTGTCCTCAACACTTCAGAATCTAGTTATCTCTGCTCCAAAGGTAGAAAGGTTGTGGAAAACCTCTGTAGGAGGGGCACAGAGTTCAGCCCCACGTTGCCCAACCCCGTCCTGGCTTCAACCAGCCATGTTCTGCAGAGAACAGTTTGTACTTCGTCCTACAGCTTTTTAACCCCTCGTCTAGAGACACAGGATGAAGATGAGTGACCAGAGATGAAGAGACTTTGCTTGGGGTGCTAGGCTTAGTGACGGGAAGACAAGCAGAGAAGAGGACAACTCTGTGACCTTCTGGACTAGACCCCAGCACCATGACGGTGTCTTACACTCTCAAAGTGGCGGAGGCCCGCTTCGGAGCGTTCTCTGGCCTGCTGCTCCGCTGGAGGGGCAGCATATACAAGCTCCTGTACAAGGAGTTCCTGCTCTTCAGTGCCTTGTATGCTGTGCTCAGCATCACCTATCGGTGAGAGCAGCTCTGAGTCCTAGCCTATGAGGACTTCTGCCGCCGGCCTCCTTCCAATCCAGGTCTCTGCCTGATGTGCCCTAGGCTGCTGCTGACCCAGGAGCAGAAGCATATTTATGCCCAGGTGGCCCGATACTGCAACCGCTCAGCAGACCTCATCCCCTTGTCCTTTGTGCTGGGTGAGGCCCCCTTCTAGTTTTCCCTAGTCTCCTGACCATGTTCTCTGACCTTTGGGTTGAGGTGACAACTCTGGGCAGCAATGGCCTGGAGTCATCTAGCCGAAGGGCTAGAGCCTGGGTCCTCAGTTTCCTCTGGGTTACTCCTTGCCTGTCATTTGCTGGACCCCCAATCTTCATTGGTACAGAGACACCGGCTGGCTTTATAATCCCACTCTGGGTACCAAAGGGGAGCTAGAGAGAAGGGATAGTCCCTCCCTACCCTCATAGGAAAACGGTCTCAGAGTCAACAATAAATTCATCTCGGACTCCCACTTCCTCCTCCCTGCAAGTTTGTGTTCTTTGCCTCTTTTCCGGGCCCGATTTCCCAGCAGGCAGTGGGACCAGAAGGGCCACAGAGTCCAAAGTAGTACCTCCCTAGCGCCTGGCATCTTTTTTTCTGTCCCTGTTATCCATGGCGGCTCACTAGGTTTCTACGTGACTTTGGTGGTGAACCGCTGGTGGTCTCAATACACAAGCATCCCACTGCCGGACCAGTTAATGTGTGTCATCTCAGCCTGTGTGCACGGTGTGGATCAGAGTGGCCGTTTACTACGCCGAACTCTCATCCGCTATGCCAACCTGGCGTCGGTGCTGGTACTGCGTTCCGTGAGCACCCGTGTGCTCAAGCGCTTCCCCACTATGGAGCACGTGGTGGATGCAGGTGCCTGGGTGGTCGCAGCCCTTAGGTGGGTGGCTAGATGCTTTCCTCCCGTGATGGAAAGGTCTGACCCTTAGGGGGCGCTCCAGGGTTTCACGGAAGCCAGTGGGTTTAATGGAGAACAGCCAGATGCTAAACCACTGGCGCCCCTTGCGGGCAGGAAACGTCTGCACTTCAATTTCTTCCCCCTGGCAGGTTTCATGTCTCAGGAAGAGAGGAAAAAGTTTGAGAGCTTGAAATCTGACTTTAACAAGTACTGGGTCCCTTGCGTCTGGTTCACTAACCTAGCCGCCCAGGCCCGCAGGGATGGACAAATCCGTGACGACATCTCTTTTTGTCTCATATTGGAAGTAAGTCCGTTTAGGATTTGGATCCTTGGTTCTATCTCTAGCTTTAAAATAATAACTTGGTACTTGACACTTAAAAGGCACCAACTATATACCGCACGCTACTTTTGGGGCGGCGGGGGGTGGGGTAAGATTACTCTCCATAGATCAAGCTTACCTGGAACTCACTATTTAGCCCAGGCTGGCCTCAAACCCATGGCAATCCTGCCATCATCTCCCAAACTTCGGAATCACAGGCATGAGCCACTAGGCCTAGCTACTGTGCACTTTGGAAGCATGTGCTTAAGGTGACTCATTTAGTCCTCAAAACAATCCTTGAGACCGGCACTATTATCACTCCCTTACACAGACAGGGAAACCCAAGCACAGAGTTGAAAAGCCCCTCACACAGCATGTTAGTGATGCTGGGACTCATGGTTGTTCTGGTTCCAGATCTGGAATGTTTTTTGCTACCTTCCTAAATTGCTTCCTGCCCTAAGCACCTCAGCCTGGTAGATAACCCTAGAGCAGTGGGGCTCTGGCCTGGCCCAGGTCTTCTTTGTGTGGGTTCCCCTGCTTCCTTCCTCGTCTTCCTTCCTTGTCTCCTCTGACCTCCCCCTCATCTGCTTTCTCTAGGAGCTGAACAAGTACCGTGCCAAGTGCAGCATGCTGTTCCACTATGACTGGATCAGCATCCCACTTGTCTACACCCAGGTAACTGTTGCTTGCCTGCCCAGCTCAGTTGTCTATCGGGTGTCCAATGGTGTGTGAAATACCAAGGGGCAGAAAGGTTCTTCACTTGGGCCAAGTCAGTCTCAGGAGGCACTGAACTGCTGAGGGTCATCCTCAAAACTCTTCCTCCACACCCATAAAGATCACTGTCTTGAGCTAGGCAGTGGTGGCAAATGCCTTTAATCCCAGCTACTCAGCAGAAGCAGGCAGAGCTTCGAGTTGGAAGCCAGTCTCCTTTACAGAGTGGGTTGCAGGCCAGCCAGGGCTACACAGAGAAACTCTGTCTTCAAAAACAAAAAAAGATCATCCTTTCTTGCCAAGTGTGGTAACACACATCTTTTATCCCAACACTTGGGAGACAGAGGCGGAAGGACCTCTGTGAGTTCCAGTACAGCCTGGTTTATATAGCAAGCTTCAGAACAGCCAGGGCTACAGAGACCTAAGAAGATGAGCCGAAACTCATTGATGCTACCACCCAGTCCATGCTTAATTACTTGTTAGACCCCTCCAGGCCCTCAGAAACAGGGACGGATTTTCTTGCTGTCCCAGGTACTCTGGCCCTTGCTTTTCCCTCTTCAGGTGGTGACGATAGCTGTATATTCCTTCTTTGCCCTTTCCCTGGTTGGTCAACAGTTTGTGGAGCCAGAAACAGGAGCTACCAAACTCCAGGAGTCTCTGGAGCCAGGCAAAGAGGCCTCTCCAGTCCTGGGGGACCTGGACATGTTCGTGCCTCTCACCACGTTGCTGCAGTTTTTCTTTTATGCTGGTTGGCTCAAGGTGGGCAAGGATGATCACTGTCACAGTGGGCAGTGGGTGGGGGTGGGGGCTCTGCGCCTAGAAGACACCATTCCTGCAATTCATAGGTAGCTGAACAGCTCATTAACCCTTTTGGTGAGGATGACGATGACTTTGAGACCAATCAGCTCATAGACCGAAACCTGCAGGTTAGATGTGGGGTAGGGGACTGGGGGCAGAGACAGCTAGGTGTGCAGAGAAAAGGTTGTGGCATACTGCTTGCCCTTCTGCTGGCCCAGGTGTCCCTGCTCTCTGTGGATGATATGTACCAGAACCTGCCTCCTGTCGAGAAGGATCAGTACTGGGATAAGGACCAACCTCAGCCACCCTATACGGTGGCCACAGCTGCTGACTCACTGCGTCCTTCCTTCCTGGGTTCCACTTTCAACCTGCGGTGAGTTTGGATTTGACATGGAAACCGGTACCTAGTGCCTGGCCATCCTATGGGGATACAAACAAGTTCTCTAAGAGTCAATAGTTGTTTATGTCGCCCTGGCACTGGCAGCATGAGCGACGACCCTGAGCACTGCCTTCAGATGGATGCGTCCCCAAGGTCTGATCTGCCTGCACCTGTCACACAGACCCCGCTGCTGGGCCGATTCTTGGGCGCAGGAGGACTCTCGCCCGCTGTAAGCCTGCGGAACTTCGGCAGAGCACGCGGTGCCCCCAGGACCCCACACCTGATTCGCTTCCGAACTGAGACAGGTGGCGAGGAGGCTGCCAGCCGCATAAATGAGGCTGAGGAATCTGAGGATGAAGCCCTTGAACCTTGAGAATGCCCAGCCGGCCGGTGGCTGCCACCAGCCCTTCTTCCCCAGCTGCCCTGTCATCAGCCACCACTCTGAGACTTTCCTGCACAGCGGGTTGGCCATTGGGGAAAGCATTTGGGGACAGCCCTTGAAAGCAAGGATGGCAAGGAGTCAGAGCTGGGGGCAGGGTGTGTCTCCTTCAGCTTAAAAGTGGGATTGCTTGGGGAGATGAAACGAGAATGAAGAAATGGCCAAATACGTAGGGCTAGAACAAGAGGAAAAGTTATCTTTCCAGGCTTTTGGGGAGCTAGGCTGGTGGCCCCAACACTGGCATAGTGTCAGCATCTTGCCTGGTGCCCAGCCTCTTTGTGCTGCAGTTTAGTACTGAGCTCAGGAAGCGGCATTTCTAGTTTTCGGATGCTGCTGTGGGGCTGGCCAGCTGAAAGGTAGATCCCACTGGGTGTGCTGTGGGATCCTTACTTGCAAGGTTCACTTCTTGTTTATAATGAGAATATATCCATTTCTTCATTGTGAATGAACTGTCTAATCTGGCGTCTGCCTAGGATGTAGGTGGAATTAGGTTTGGGAACTTGCCCTGGTGGCCCAGCACTAAGAACAGTTGTAGAAGTGAGCTGACTCTTGACAGCTAATGCCAGGAAGGAAGAAACTGAAGACAGAAACACTGGAGTATAGACAGAATCTCACTAATTGCCCGAGCTGGCCTTGAACTGTTAGATTCTCCTATCTCAGATTTCCAAGTAGGCATACAGGTTTGTGCCAATGGGATCCAGTCCTACCTATGTCCCAAATTTACAAAGTAGTTTAAGTCAGGGGGTGGTGATACACGCCTTTAATCACAACACTTGGGAGGCAGAGGCAAGTCAACCTCTGTGAATTCAAGGCCAGCCTGTTCTACAGACCAAGTGCCAGGACAGGCTCCAAAGCTACAGAGAAACCCTGTCTCGAAAAACAAACAAACAAAAAAGTACTTATGTGCATGAATGTTTGCCTGCACATATTAAGTGTACCATAGGGTCCAGAGGCTACCAGATACCCTAGCCATCTCTCCAGCCCCTCCAATTTTAAAAACTCAAATTATAGTACATTTATCACTGTGTATATACACATCGTGGGAGATCCACCTTTGAAGTCAGTTCTGGGTGGTGGTGGTACATGCCTTTAATCCCAGCAATTGGGAGGCAGAAGGTGGATCTTTTGAGTTCAAAGGCCAGCCCAGTCAGGCTCCAAAGCTACACAGAAAAACCCTGTCTTGAAAAAACAAAACTTAGTTCTGACCTTCCACCCTGTGGGTTCAAGGACTAACTCAAGTCACCTGCAGTCATTTCAATGACAACTAAAAACGACAGAAAACTTTATTTGGGGCTGGGTGTTAGTGGCGCACGCCTTTAATCCCAGCACTTGGGAAGCAAGAGGCCAGCAGATCTCTGAGTTTGAGGCCAGCCTGGTCTCCAGAGCGAGTGCCAGGACAGGCTCCAAAGCTACACATAGAAACCCTGTCTTGAAAAAACAAACAAAAAAAAACCCACCAAAACAAAAACCAAAACTTTAAAGTATGTGCCCCAGAAGGGGAATGTTTAAATTCAAGGTTGCCTGGTATCCTTGAATTTAAGTGTGGGTCATAGGGGCTGCAAAAATGACTCAGCACTGCCTGCACTTCCAGAGGTCCTGAGTTCAATTTCCAGCAACCACATGGTGGTGTACAACCATCTAGGAGAGCTGGTGCCCTCTTCTGGCCTGCTGGGATACATGCAGACAGAACACTATACATAAAAGTGAGCCACAAAAACAAGCAGGCAGTGCTCACCTTTAATCCCAGCACTTGGGAGGCAGAGGCAGGTAGATCTCAGTAAATTCCAGGACAGCCAGGGCGGTTACAGAAAAACCCTGCATTGAGAAACCAAAAACAAACAAACAAACAAACAAACAAACCAACTTATCAGAGGGGCTAGAGAAATGGCTGTTATTGACAACACCCATTCTAGTTCCAAAGGATTCTAACGCTGTTTTCTGGCCTTGGGTACTTGCAAAACACTCATGTTGGGGGGGTGGGGAGGACCTTATTGGGGTTAAGCATGATGGCACACACCTTTAACCCCAACACAGGAGAGATAAAGGCAAACAACCCTGTGAACCTGGTCTACCTAAGAAGTAGACCAGCCAGGGTTACATAGTAAGACCATCTCAAAAACAAGTTTTTAAGATTTAAAAATACCTGTTCCAAGACTCCCTTAATCCCAACACTCAGGAGGCAGATCTGAATGAGGCCAGCCTGGTTACAGGCTCCAATAAAAAAAAAAAAAAATCAAAAAACAACCAAAAACAAACCCTCTCACATTCCAGATAGCTGTAATTAGAGCTACCACTATGTCCTGTACCCACATGCACAATGCTCCCCACCAAAATGAACTGTAAGCAAACTCCCAATAAACCGCAAAATTTGCTGGGAATGATAGCATATATCTTTAATCTCAAAACTCAGGAGCCAGACCCTGGTGGATCTGAGTTCCAAGATAGCCAGGACCACAAAGACCTTGTTTTAGAACTTCTCCCCTCAAAACAAACTTGTTTCATTCAGTGCAGTATACACCTCTAACCCCAGCAATCAGGAGACAGAGGCAGGCAGATCTCTGAGTTTGAGGCCAGCCTGGTTTACAAAGAAGCCCTGTCTTGAAAAACAAAAAAAAAGTCCCCTTGGTCTTTGGTGTATCAGCCAGTGTTTGCTGTGCGAGTATTAAGACAGTCCAGATCCCTTTTCACAGAAGAGCACAGAATAGACCACCTAGGGTTAAGGCATGACTTTGGGTAGGGTTCCACTTTTCTCTGGGAAACCCCAGATTAACCTTAGCCAGGCACAGTGGTGCACACATCTAACCCAGCACCTAGGAAGCAATCTTCTCTGGGAACTCACATGATGAATGAAGGTCCCCAATACAAAGTCCCCAGACTTCCCATGAGCCACCTCACCTGGCTGGAAGAACAGCAGCTGGTAACAACCATGCACTTAATACTCATGAAAGTTAATGCTTAGTACACCTACACAAATTTAGTGGAATCCTTGAAACCCACGTCTACAAAGGAAAGGGAGTCTTCTAGCCTGACAATACAAGCATGGTTTAGTCAGCATCCCTACAGTGTTTGAGAACTCAGCCCTGAAGAGCTCACAAGTCTCTTCCACACCAACCTGCTCTAGGTTCCCAAAACACCCAGGAAATACCGGGTTTACTGTAGCCCCCGCTCTCAAAATAGACTAGGCCCAGGGCCTCTTACAGAACAGCTAGACAGTAAAGATGTGTTCTTCAGCTTTGCTCAGAGAAGGAGAAAATTTAGCCATGCATTTCGGACAATATAAATACAGAACAATAAACACCTTTATTACATGAGCTATGAATGAGTTTATTTGCCTTTCCGGGCTTTGATCTTCCTCAGGTAGAACTCCAGCTCCTTGCCTTCTAGCACATAGCCATCTGCTCTGCCGCACTGGCCTGGTCTTGAGGCAATACAGGCTGTAAGAGAATAGGCGGTCTTCAGTAAAAGGACAAAAGGCCCCACTCAACCTACCTGTCCCCTTTAAAGCCCAACTTGCTCTGATACCCAAAGGGCTGGCGTGAAGCCAACTGTCTCCTCAGATATACTTTATCCTCACTTACAAGTCAGCAGCAGAACTGGACAAAGTTCTCATCACTGAGACAGCCACCAGCCAGAGCATCACCACATCCCTCTTCAGCCTGACAGCCACCAACACTCATGCTTCCCACACCACCACCACCACCGCAGCTGACTCACCAAGAAGCTTGCCCTGCTGGAACTGCTCCTCCAGAAGGCTGCTGATTTTGGCATTCTTTTTCCTCTCATCATATTTCTTTTGAATTTTCTTTGATCGCTTTTTGTTTAATATTTCTTCCTCCTCGGGGGTCTGAATAAAGAAAATACAAATGGGTACGTCATGAGGAAAGTCACCAAGCCTTCTTAACCCCCAAAATTCCTGATGCTTGCCTTCTTCAGCACTATAGTAGTCATCTCCTTCCTTCAGTAGCAGAACTGGACAGTATTCTCATCACAAGAAGGCAGCCCTTCCCCTCATCCCCCACGGGAAAACAACACTCACCAGCTTGGCCCCCTTCTTGCGGCCCAGGGGCAGTGCATAGTGGGACTCGTACCACTGCCGGTACGGTGTGCTGTCGATGAGCACAATGCAGTTCTTCACCAGGGTCTTGGTGCGGACCAACTCGTTATTGGATGCATTGTAGACAACGTCAATGATCCTTGTTTTTCGAGTACAGCCTGCACACGAGGGAAACTCACAATTAAGGGGCTGGGGAGGCAGCCCAGTGCCAGGCACCTGCTTAATGTGTACCTGGCTCCGGCACATGAGCACAGGGCAATCACTAGCTTCACCTCCTTTCCCCAGGGTCCTTAGTGCCAGGAAGGGCAGAAAAGAACACCCAGCCTCTCTTCACCCACAACCATTCTTTCTTTAATTCAGGGAGCTTTTGCAAGCTCTCCAGAAACCACTCCAAGCTGCATGAGTCAAATCATATCCGGAAGAATTCTCCAGCCACCTCAAGGTCTTTGAGCAAGGGGCAAATTCAAACTCCCCGATACCCAAAAAGGACCACTTACACTCAGAGCCCCAGGAAAAGTTTCCCACGTCCAACCTTAGGGCACGGTACTTCTTATTGCCTCCTCGAACTCGGACTGTGTGTATACGACGAGGACCAATCTGGAAAATACAAGAAAATCACAACATGGTCATCAAGAAGAGAGGGGACCGTGAGAGGCACCTGAATTATACGGAGGTAACAGTCAGTGTAACTATGACAAGTCCTTTCATTGGCAAGTGGCATTCAGGTGACCAAGACGGCCTAACCACGCCTAAGGATACTTTTTCATCACTCTAGTTACCTCTAAAAAGACAGACCCTTCAAACACAGAAAGAATTCCAGTAATACTCCAATGTGACAGGAGCCCATTCCAGGGGTCCCTTGAGTCCTGGTGCCCAGCATGTCCCATTAGACCCTAAGCTCGGCGACGCGGGCGCACAGACCCAGCACGTGGACATGTGCCAAATGCTCAGTCTCCAAAAATCGGAGACATCAAAGCCTAAGAAAGAAGCGACCACAGCCACCGCAACCACGCTCTAGCGCAGGGAATGAGACACCCCCGGCCCCGACCCCGGCACGCACCTTCGTGTTGGCAGCAGGCCGTCCCAGCTCATACTTCCGCTTCTTGTGGTAGGGCTTTCTCTTACCCCCGGTCTTGCGGCGCTTGTGCCAGTTGTCCCGAGAGATGCCTGTGTGCGGGAGCGGGGACGCAAGCCTGAGCAACCGGGCCTCGGTGCCGGCGACTCAGCCAGCTCCGGGGCCCCGCTCGGCGCGGCCGCACACTCAGCTCTCCAAGGTTGGCCTCCCCACGACGCAGTCGGGAGTGTGCAGCATACCTAGGTGTCATCATGCGCGTGCGGCCCGCGGCAGCCATGTTGGACCGCTCGCAGCCCGGAGCCCGGCCAGCGGCCGCAGAGATCTCGGCAGCCCAAGCCCACGGCCGGCCCTCCCCACGGGTGCTCGTGGCCCAGGGTCGGGCCGAACACGTTCCTGGCAGGCGTGCGAGGCAGGATGGAGGCGGATGGCGCTCGCTCCCCGCAGCCCGACCCGGCCCGCAGGAACACTCACCCATCGCTCGGCGCTGGCTGGAAAGAGGAAGCGCAAAGCTTCACGGTCCGGTTTCTAAAACGCAGCCCCGCCTTCTTTACGTCTCTTCCGGTTTCCGGGAAGGACCTGGGGCGGCAGCGTTCCTGGGACGCTGGCACGGGGGACGGTCCCGCGGCGTGCCACGCCTGAGACCCCCCCTTCAGGTCCCTTGACCTCGGGCATTGTGGAGGGCCCGCCCGCTAGTCTTTAAGCCGACGTGATAGGACACACTTGCCCGCGGTTGAGCTCGCAGTTTGTTTTTTCCTTTGGAGACAGGGTTTTCTGTAGCCTAGATCCTAATTCCCACCTCCCAAGTGCCGGAATTAAGGTCGTACACTACCTTGTCTTTATATGTTGTCCCCCCTCCCCTTCCCCGTTTATTCTTTTATTTTTAAAGTTACACTTGGCAGGGCATGGCTCACGCCTTCAATCCCAGCTCACCGGAGGCAGAGGCAGGTGGATTTCTGTGACTTGGAGGCCCACCTGTTCTGTAAAGCGAGTTCCACGACAGCAGGGTTTGCACGGACCCTGTCTCTACAAAGAAAAAGAAAATAAAGTTAAACTTATCTGGTCTATGTGGGTGGGCTCGTGACTGGAATAGGAGTCAACTTGAGGGAGTCAGTTAGGTTTCTTTCTACCCTGTGGGACCCGGGATCTTTAGTTTTTGATTCTTTTTTTTTTTTTAATTAGTTAAAATTAGGAACAAGCTTGTTTCACATGTCAAAACCTTCTCCCTCCTCCCCCACCCCCGACCTATCCCCCACCCTATCCGCCCTCCACTCCCCAGGCAGGGTAGGGCCCTCAACCAGGGCTCCCCAAAGTCCACCACATCATTCTGGGCTGGGCCTGGGCTCTTCCCCATGAGTCCAGGGCAAGAGTGTAACCCTTCACGTGGGATGGGCTCTCAAAGTCCCTTCTTACACCCGGGAAAAATACTAATCCACTACCAGGGGCCCCCTGGATTCAGCGGCCTCCTCATTGACATCCATGTTCAGGGGTCTGGATCAGTCTTGTACTGGCCTCCCGGACAGCATCTGGGGTCGATGTGCTCTCCCTTGTTCAGGCCAGCTGTTTCTGTGGATTTCTCCAACCTGGTACCGATACCTTCGATCTTCATTCCTCCCTCTCTTCAACTAAGTTCCAGAGTTCAGTTCAGAGTATATCTGTGGATGTCTGTCTCTGCTTCCATCAGCCTCTGGATGAGGCTCTTGGGTATGGGACAGATCGGCCTTTTGATTCATTTTTGTGTGTGCTCCTGTTGGGAACAGAAGCTGTTGGATACCAGGCAGCCACAGTACCAACTCAGCTCTACCCTGTTAAGTTTCAAACCCAGGAAAAATGCCTGAGGTGCCTCTTTAACATATCGAAGTGGACCTGACCTCCAGGTTCTTTCTGCGTCCCTAAGTCCCTGCCTGTTAAAGGGCATGACTGCCATGCCTGGTCCTCTATCCAGAACTCGCCAACCCAGGGACAAGGCTGCCCTTCCCACAGAGGTTAGACATACACAGACATTTTGGTTACCAGTCCCCTTTTGTACCTTTGACCTCCAGGCCGCTGTGCCTAGTCTCTCCTCTCTCCTGTCCCTACCCCACACGGCCCAGCTCAGTCTGCTCATGTCCACTCTGGACTCTCCCTGATGTCTCTGCCTCTACCTACCCTCTCCCTTTTATCTAAATAATAAACTTTCTCCTCCACCATACCAATGAGCAGTTATGTCCTTTCCTTTCCTTTTGATTTCTATTTTTCATTCATACCCTAGTTCTGGAATACAATTATTTATTTTTGGGCTGGAGAGATGGCTCAGAGGTTAAGAGCACTGACTGCTCTTCCAGAGGTCCTGAGTTCAGTTCCCAGCAACCACATGGTGGCTCTGGTGCCCTCTTCTGGTGTGCAGATATACATGGAAGCAGAATGTTGTATACATATTAAATAAATAAAATCTTTAAAAAAAAACATTTATTTTTTAATTAAAAATGTGATTTATTTTCTCCCAGCAGTGGTGGCCCACACTTTGAATTCCAGCACTCAGAGGCAGAGACAGGAGGATCTTGTGACTTCCAGGCCACCCTGGTATACAGAGTAAGTTCCAGGTCAGCCAGGACAGTTACACAGAGAAACCCTGTCTCAATAAAAAACAAGCAAACACACAAAAACCTGCTGCAGCAGAGTATGCCTTTAATCCCAGCACTGAGGAGTTGGGGTGAGGGGTGGGGCAAGGGGGTATTTTGATTTCATGTGCATTGGTGTTTTTGCCTGCATGCATGTCTGTATGAGGGTGTTGGATCCCCTGGAACTGGAGTTACAGATAGTTGTGAACTGTCATATGGGTGCTGGAGATTGAACCTGAATTCTCTGTAACAGAATGCTCATGGAGCAGACTCAGGTCCTCATGTTTGTACACCAAGCTCTTACTCACTGAACCATCTCTTCCAGTCCCTTCCCTGTGAAGTCCTGGCTGTCCTTGAACTCACTCTCGGTCCTCTGGAAGCACAGCCAGTGCTCTTAACCCCTGAACCATCTTCTCAGCCCACGTTTCATGTAATTTTCTTTTCTTCTTTCTTTTTTTTAAAATTTTTTTTAAATTTTATTTATTATGTATACAGTCTTCTGCCTGCATGCCAGCAGAGGGCACCAGATCCCATTAAAGGTGGTTGTGAGCCACCATGTAGTTGCTGGGAATCGAACTCAGGACCTCTGGAAGAACAGTCAGTGCTCTTAACCAGTGAGCCATCTCTCCAGCCTCTCATGTAATTTTCATGTTCATGTATTATGTCTTAAAAATAAGCTCCGGGACTAAGTGTCCCACAGACCAGACAAACTCAAAATGGAGGGTTTAAAGGGTTCTAACTCAGGTGGTATAATGCTTGCTTAGCATGCCTGAAAGTGGTCAGTTGAATACCCAGCAACAGAGGAAATACGTTGGAGACAGGGTTTCTCTGTATAGTCCTGGCTGTCCTGGAACTTGCTTTGTAGACCAGACTGGCTTCAGATTTAGATATCTGCTTGCCTCTGCCTCCTGAGTGTTGGGATTAAAGGTGTGGGCTACCATGCTTTAATCCTTTGTTTGCTTTTTTTCTTTTTTCCTGTTTGCCTTAAAAAATACTATCTGTCAGCCGGGCAGTGGTGGTGCACACCTTTAATCCCATCACTCGGAGGCAGAGGCAGGTGAATCTCTGTTAGTTCAAGACCAGCATGGTCTCCAAAGGGAGTGCTCGGAAAAAAACAAAAAAAACAAAAAAAATAGCCCAGGCTGCCCCTCAACTGGTGATAATCCTCAGCCTCAATGCTGGGATTACAGGTTTGAGCCACCATGCCAGACCAAGATGTCAGATCCTCTGGAACTGGCATTGCAGGAGTTGTGAATCACCTAACACTACTTAACACTCTGGTGCTGGGAACTAAACTCAGGTCCCTTCAAGAACAGCAAGTGCTTTTAACACTAGACCATCTTTCCAGAACTATTATTGTTTTTGTTTTTAATTTCCTTTAATTTCTTTTTCAGATTCCTAATTGCTGCCATGTAGAGATACACATCAATTTTGTGTGAACGTATACAGGATCAAATCCACCTATGAACAGAGAACTGGAATTTCTGCTTTTCCAATTAGGACCCTTTACTCCTTTTTATTGCCTAATATCCCTGAGCAAAAGTAAGTAACCTTGAGCCAGGCATGGAGGCACAGGCATATAGTCACAGCTACTAAGAGGTCTGAGGCTGAAGGATTGCAAGTTCAAGGCTAGCCTGGATACCTTAGTGAGATCTTACTCAAAATCAAACAAACAAAAAGGCTCGTGAGATGGGCTCCTGGGTAAAGGTGCTCACAAGTCTGGTGATTTGAGTTTAATCCCAGAACCCAGGTAAAGGTGTACAGAAAGAACCAACTCCACAAAGTGTCCTCTGACCTCCACACACACCAAGAGTACATGTGATGACTCGAGCCCTCATATACACATGCACACACAGTTTTCTCACTGAACCTTTTACCAGGCTCAATGACAAGCCCGAGCAATCCTTCTGCCCCGCAGCATTGTGGTTACAGGCAGTCTTTCTCACACTTCACTTTTTTTTTTTTTTTTAAGATTTACTTTATGGGGCTGGAGAGATGCTCAGAGGTTAAGAGCACTGACTCTTCTTCCAGAGGTCCTTAGTTTAATACCCAGCAACCACATGGTGGCTCACAACCATCTGTAATGAGATCTGGTGCCCTCTTCT